TCCATGTTGAAGCATGTAACATAATTTCATTTATTTTTATGGCCAGATAATATATTCTATTGTATGTATATACCACATTTTGCTTATCCATTCATCTGTTGATGGATATTTATTTATTTATTTATTTATTTATTTATGGTGTCTCGCATGGAGGTCCGAGCCTGTGACCTTGGTGTCATAACACTGCACTCTAACCGACTGAGCAACTGGCCAGCTTCAATGGACATTCAGATTGCTTCCATCTTTTGGCTATTGTGAATAATGCTGCTGTGAATACAGGTGTCTAGATGTCATCTTAGGGGGATAAGTTGTCTGAGATCCTCAGCAATTATCCCAAGAGTCTGAGATTTTTTTTCTCAAAAGGCACATTTTACATTCTTTCATGAAACGAAATTCATAACCTGCCTAGAGCAAGTTTTCTTTTTTTCTTTCCTTCTTTTTTTAATAACAAGTTTTCTTGTGGTTATCTGTTCTCCCTCCAACCACCACCCCCAGAAGTTTGAGGCTTGTAAGAGGCACAGTAGAACAGTTAAAAGGAATAGACATTTCTTCTGCCTCTGCAAAATATCAATGTCAGCAACAAAAATAATACCCAGTGGAACTTAAACATGCTGAAAAGCAAATAAAACACTAGGCTCATTTCTGATACCCTCCGAGCATTCAGTGCTCCTTTTCTGCAGTCACACCAAGCTAGTACTAATTCTGCACACACCTTATGTTTTTAGAACTCTGCCTTTGCACATGCTGTTTCTCCAACTTGGAATACCCTTCCTCCCACTCTCCAACAGGCAAACCCACCCATTTCTCAAGACTCTGTGAAGCCATTCCTGACCCTTCCTCCCCACGAGGCAGATGCAGTCCCCTCACCTGTGCTTGCACAGCAGTGCGCAGGAGTATCGTAGCCCTTCCCACGGGTACAGTAATTAGCTGTTCCTACTCTGTCGCTCCCATTAGACTGTGTGCTCCTTGAGGGAGGGGCTGTGGACTGTGGTTATTCATCTTTATATCCCTTTCCTCAGTGATAAAATACACTTCAGTAATACTTCAGTGATATAGCACCTACCTCAGTGGAAAATAACAGCATTGGTCACCATATCCCAGGGTATTTTATATACATAATCTGTAATCCTTCCAACAGTCCTTTGAGATAGGTATTTATCCTCATTTTTATAGGAAAGGAAACAGAAGCGCAAGAGCTCGTCAATGAGGAGTGAAGTCGGGATTCAAACCCAGGACTGCCTGGCTCCTAAGTCCAAGATGTACCATGATGCTAAAAACAAGAGCGGCTGGTTGGATATGTGGATGGATGCTGGATAGAGCACCTGATCTCCTATAGCTGCCTATAGAAATCTGTGCACATAGATAAATTATTTTACTTCCTCATTTGTCCAATTGAAATATATACTTTTCAGTAACCCACTTCCTTCTTTCTCCCACTTCAAACACAAACTCCTCTTTCTTTCACACACACACAAATAGGCCTCCTTAAGATCTCTCCTTGAGTACTTAAGCACTTTGCTGTTTTGAACCCCTCAATTGTTTTATGTGTATTTGTTCCGTGGTCTTGGGGCAGGAACCACACTCTGCAGACATTCACGCTGCCTGCACTTAGCAAGCCCTCAGTGAGGCTCATTGACTGCCTGCAGGAAATCCACCCCCAACCAGGCAGATTAGGCCACCCTAAGTCCTGCGATAATATCTCATATCAATTCAATCACCTAAGCACTTCTCACACTCCTGACTATCTTGTTCATACGTATCTTGTCCACTTAGTAAAAGACTGCCTCCATTAAAAAGCCTGTTTGGAAACATTGCATTAAAATTTCAATAACAGTTTACACTACAATTACAGTAACAGTTTATCGTTCTTGAATGAGTGGATTATTTTCCAAGAATCTCAAGTCTTTCTCTTAAAAAAGTTACCATGTTAAACAGATCAAAATGTATTAGTTAAGCTGCTACTAAAAAGTAAATTTAGGAATCCTTTACTAAAACAAATGGCAGTGTTCTCAAAACTGTATTCCAAAGGGGAGACGTCCTTGGGTTTCTTTATAGTGGAGCCTATTTGTCAAAAAACCACCTCTTTCTGACAGTTATGCAGAATGGCCCAAGCTGAGCGTTGAGAGTTGCCAGGCCCCTGCCCTGGTCCCCAACCCACTCCCTGCTTCTCTGAGCCCTGGGGCTCCCGTCAGTGGAGCTGAATGCGCACAGAGCCAGGCCAGATGGTAAAGATGGGGAAAACCGCCAAAAAGGAGGCAAACAGGAAATGCAAGGAGGGGTCTAGATATGGGGGAGGGGCAGCCCAGACCCTCTCCCCAAATCCCATGCCTTGAAGAAGAGGTCAGGTTGAGAGGAGAGTACAGGAATCAAAAGAAACAGCAGCAGCTACCCCAGGAAAGAACGAACACTGGGGTTTCCTTTCACCGAGAAGGAGTGATACAGAGGCGCACATAAGCTCAGCAACACCAGCACACACTGATATGGTCACATGAGCATGCCACTACACACACGTGCATGCACAGACACACAAAAGTACACACACACTAAAAGATGTGCACGCAAGATTCCTAGTAACATACAAATGAGTGTATATATACATCCTGTGATACACAACCACATGCACAATCAGGCCAGAGGAAGAAGAGAAACACAGTTCCTACCTTAGGGACAATATCCTTACACAGACAGTATACAGATCCAGGCAGCTTCACAAGCACACACCCATGCAGACACGCGCAAGCAGATCTCAACCCCAGGGCACTGTGGAGCAAAGCAACCGCCATACAACACAGACGCATCGGGGGCTGCTAATTCTACTCACTCCCTCCAAAACTCACACAGCAAGCGTGTGCAGCCACCCTGTGCTCCCTGTGTCTGTCCAGCCTCCCGTGTGCACGTCTGGGGGCCAGGTTCCTTACCTCCTCAGGGCCTCTGGACCTATTGCCCTCTGAGCTGTGCTGAGCTGGGCTGGGCTCTGCTCTTTGCTGAGATAAGCCAGAGAGGCAGGGTTATTTTCTACCACAGGCAGGAAGTGAGAACCATAATAAGGGGCAAGAGGCTAAATCATGATCATTCCCTCACTCTCCTCCACATACCCTGCCTCGGTATCCACCCTTTCTGGCCACTGATCAGCGATGCAGAGGGGAGCTGAGCAGAAAGGACTAGGTCACTTGGGACAAAGAGGGGGAGAGGGAAGGAAGAGAAAGACCTGCTCTTTGTGCAGCTTCTCCTGCCTGCCCCCTCATTCTCTGCCCCCCACCCCTCCCACACATGGATCAAATGTCTTGCTCTCTCTTCGCTGCCTCTTTCTAATTCGCATCCTTCTGTTCTCTCTGTCTCTGATTCCCTAGGCTCAGAAGTTTGAAAAGAAGGACCCTCAGATCTCCTCACCTTCCTTGCCCCTGAAAATCGGCTCTGAAAAAGTCCCAGCCTCATTTTGGGTTCTATGGTGGCCAGTCAGTGTCTCAGCCCCAACACAGAAAATATCCCTTTAGTGTGTGCTCTAACTCATTTGCTGAATTAGCAAAGCCCACTTCCTCTGCTTCTGTGTTCAGGCAATGCTGAGGATGCACCCTTCCCCACAGACAGGCTTATTTCTGAAGACACTTTAATATCTGTACATTCGGGCTCCCCAGATGAATCCCAACTGTGCTGAGCCTCCAACAGAAGCTTAACTCAGTGTAGAGGCCGGTTAGCTCAGTTGGTTAGAGCACATTGTTAAAACACCACGGTCAAGGGTTCAGATCCACATGCTGGCCAGCTGCCTCCTCTCCCCTAAAAAAAGCTCTGTCCCAAACCTCCTTTAGGTGCACGAATGAATCCTGTTCATCAGCTTATCCTGAGTCTGAGGATCAGGGATGACATGGAAGTTCTGTGGGACGGAGATAGTGTGAGGTCGCCGGGGTGAGTGCGGCCTCCTTCTGCCCCAGTGGCCACACTCTTTCCAGAGGGAGAAGTCTCCTTGGCCCAGGCCCTCGGTGTCCGAGTCATGTCTTGTCACCGTCTTCCCTTCTCCCCAGTCCAGGCCTGCCCTGCTTCTCCAGCCAAAATTCCTGCTCCAGCACTCCCCACCCTTCCCTGGCTGGCCCTGTCTCTTCCTGTATTTCCAANGCAAGATTCCTAGTAACATACAAATGAGTGTATATATACATCCTGTGATACACAACCACATGCACAATCAGGCCAGAGGAAGAAGAGAAACACAGTTCCTACCTTAGGGACAATATCCTTACACAGACAGTATACAGATCCAGGCAGCTTCACAAGCACACACCCATGCAGACACGCGCAAGCAGATCTCAACCCCAGGGCACTGTGGAGCAAAGCAACCGCCATACAACACAGACGCATCGGGGGCTGCTAATTCTACTCACTCCCTCCAAAACTCACACAGCAAGCGTGTGCAGCCACCCTGTGCTCCCTGTGTCTGTCCAGCCTCCCGTGTGCACGTCTGGGGGCCAGGTTCCTTACCTCCTCAGGGCCTCTGGACCTATTGCCCTCTGAGCTGTGCTGAGCTGGGCTGGGCTCTGCTCTTTGCTGAGATAAGCCAGAGAGGCAGGGTTATTTTCTACCACAGGCAGGAAGTGAGAACCATAATAAGGGGCAAGAGGCTAAATCATGATCATTCCCTCACTCTCCTCCACATACCCTGCCTCGGTATCCACCCTTTCTGGCCACTGATCAGCGATGCAGAGGGGAGCTGAGCAGAAAGGACTAGGTCACTTGGGACAAAGAGGGGGAGAGGGAAGGAAGAGAAAGACCTGCTCTTTGTGCAGCTTCTCCTGCCTGCCCCCTCATTCTCTGCCCCCCACCCCTCCCACACATGGATCAAATGTCTTGCTCTCTCTTCGCTGCCTCTTTCTAATTCGCATCCTTCTGTTCTCTCTGTCTCTGATTCCCTAGGCTCAGAAGTTTGAAAAGAAGGACCCTCAGATCTCCTCACCTTCCTTGCCCCTGAAAATCGGCTCTGAAAAAGTCCCAGCCTCATTTTGGGTTCTATGGTGGCCAGTCAGTGTCTCAGCCCCAACACAGAAAATATCCCTTTAGTGTGTGCTCTAACTCATTTGCTGAATTAGCAAAGCCCACTTCCTCTGCTTCTGTGTTCAGGCAATGCTGAGGATGCACCCTTCCCCACAGACAGGCTTATTTCTGAAGACACTTTAATATCTGTACATTCGGGCTCCCCAGATGAATCCCAACTGTGCTGAGCCTCCAACAGAAGCTTAACTCAGTGTAGAGGCCGGTTAGCTCAGTTGGTTAGAGCACATTGTTAAAACACCACGGTCAAGGGTTCAGATCCACATGCTGGCCAGCTGCCTCCTCTCCCCTAAAAAAAGCTCTGTCCCAAACCTCCTTTAGGTGCACGAATGAATCCTGTTCATCAGCTTATCCTGAGTCTGAGGATCAGGGATGACATGGAAGTTCTGTGGGACGGAGATAGTGTGAGGTCGCCGCATGCTGGCCAGCTGCCTCCTCTCCCCTAAAAAAAGCTCTGTCCCAAACCTCCTTTAGGTGCTCGAATGAATCCTGTTCATCAGCTTATCCTGAGTCTGAGGATCAGGGATGAAATGGAAGTTCTGTGGGACGGAGATAGTGTGAGGTCGCCAGGGTGAGTGCGGCCTCCTTCTGCCCCAGTGGCCACACTCTTTCCAGAGGGAGAAGTCTCCTTGGCCCAGGCCCTCGGTGTCCGAGTCATGTCTTGTCACCGTCTTCCCTTCTCCCCAGTCCAGGCCTGCCCTGCTTCTCCAGCCAAAATTCCTGCTCCAGCACTCCCCACCCTTCCCTGGCTGGCCCTGTCTCTTCCTGTATTTCCAACATCATCCTCAGTCGTGTCTTCTCCCTCCCTGGGTACTCTGACATCATCCTTCCCAACATTTTTCTGGGAAAAGGCAGGACAGAAAGGCAGCCTACAGCTCGATAGTTAGTTTCCCTGATGACACCTCACCACCTGCACATCTTCCCTGCTTTCAAGAGCTGGAAAAATGGGAACGGGCAAGAGAAGTCTCTGAGACAGGCTCAGCCCCCCTCTGACCTGTGCCCTGAGGTGGTCTGCGTGCATCTCACCCTTGCTCTTAGGCCTGCAGGTCCTGCCTCCTCGGGGAAATCTCCTGGAGCCCTTCGGCCTCGTTGACCTCACTCTGAACTTGGTGGGCACCTCTGCCTTCAGCCCTTACCCTTTCTGCTACCTTCTTCTCCTTGGCTTTTTTATGTCCCTGGGCATGAAGGGTATACACAGGGAGTGGCAGGGTCGGGGAGAGCTGATGGCATCGGTTGTCTGACAGATGAGGCTGGGCTGTACTGTCTCTAGGTGGCCAGGAGGTGAGGCTCACGCGCATGAGTAAATTTCTGTCTCCCCCTCAATTCTTGCCTCCGTCTCCCCTCAGGACAGCTCACTCTAAACAGAGGAGTTCTGGAGATACAACCTGGTGGAGGTCTCCTTTTCATCATGGAGGCCCCATAAACATAGATAATAGGTAGGCAGCTGCCCCCATTGGTGTGATACGAAGGTATCAGAAAGCCCTGCGGACCCTCAAATACTTCCCCCACCCATGCTCATTATCTGAAATTTCATCCCCTCATGCCTCTCATGAGCCACATTCTATCAGAGCTCTAGGGACATTAGAGATCATCTAGTCTAATGCCTTATATAGATGAACACTTTGGGTTAAGGCTGTGCTTCCTGAAGACCCCATTAAAATACACCTTGGTTAGCTGGGAAGGATGACAGTCTGGATTCACATCTGTGCCAGTGAACCCATTAGTGGAGTTTAATCAGATTGGCTCATTGTCACCTAGCAGAGGGCCTGGCCCCGGTGGGTGAGGGGATGCACGCAGGGGTTAAGGTTTCACTGAGAGTAGGAAAAGGTTAGCAACAGTCCCCAGAGGACCCTGCTTGGGAAGTCCAGAGTTCAGCATGACCGTGAGGGTGAACGGGAGGACATTGCCTCCCCAAGATGCCCCAGAGTGGGAGCTTCGAGGCCAGAGGGGCGCTCCAGGGTATGGCAGGTGTGTTGGCTGCCTCACCTGGCTCCGTCTGAAAAGGTCTGTCTGCTTGAGGCAGCCCCCTTTGGCTGTTTATTCAGAAAAGTTCTCCAGGGCCCACAGCCCACCCTCATCTCCCATTTCTCCAGGGTGGGCGCTGCTCCTTGTGACCCCTGTGTGGTTCAACCCATCTGTGACACCCCCATACCTGTGCTCCTGTTGTTCTGCAGTGGCCCCAAACTGGCTTCCGCTGCCTGCTGTGGGCTGGGCTGGGCTGGGCTGGGCTGGTAGGACCTGCTCTCGGGGCTGGTGAGGACACACCCTCCTCAGCAGATCTCGACACATCCCTCCCAGCTCCCTGCACTCACCAAACCCCACACAGGCCAAGGAGAGAGAGGAGGAAGCATTGCCCTCAGAAGCCTTCACGGTCTGGCCAGAGAAGAAACCCCAGCAGCGAATGATACTTAACCCAGCCCCAACTCTTGCCGACTAATAACTCCCCGCACCCATGTCTCGCACACTCCCCACAGTTTCCGGGAACTCTTACTGGCACACCCACCCGTGATGCCAGATGACTAACCCACCGGCCTCTCGCTGTTCCCACTGGTTCCTCCTGGTTGTCTCTCTTCCTGTCTTTGGTCTACAGGTGGGTTACCCCATGCCACTCATGGCTTTTGCCTCACCCTGCCCAAGTCCCCTCTGTGTGCCCATGTTCTGCCAGGCCCTCCCTTCCTGCCAAATACACACAGCACAGCTCCTCCATTACAGCAGTTACCAGGCTGCGTGGTCCCTCTTTGCTTATGTCAATTTCCCCCAGGCTGTGAGCTCTGGGGAGACAACGCAGCCCCTTGTCTCATACCCTAGGGCTGCAGCACATGCTGGGCATGTTGTCCATGCTCAGTAAACACAAACAAGCTAACATTTGGGGTGACAGGTGAAAAAGGTATTGTGGTCAAATAAGTTTGGGAAACAAAAAGGTAAGCAAGTTTTGCTATTATAGAGCTTTGTAAAGCCATTAACATGCCGCCGAACGACAGGCCATGTGTTGATGGTCACTGGAGCTGGGTGAAGGG